TCTCCAAATAATAAGAGCCATTTATAACAAACCCACAGCCAATATCATACTGAATGGGCAGAAGATGGAAGCATTCCCCTTGAAAACTGGCACAAGATAAGAATACCCTCTCTCACTACTCCTATTCAACATAGGATTGGAAGTTCTGGCCAAGGCATCAGGCAACAGAAAGAAATAAAGGCTATTCAAATAGGAAGAGAGGAAGTCAACTGTCTGTTTGCAGGTGACATGATCCTATATTTAGAAAACCCCATTGTCTCAGCCCAAAAGTTTGTTAAACTGATAAGCAACTTCAGCAAAGTATCAGGATATAAAATCAATATGCAAAAATTACAAGCATTCCTATACACCAACAATAGACTAGTAGAGAGTCAAATCGTTAATAGCTTCCCATTCACAATTGCTACAAAAAGCACAAAATGCCTAAGAATACAGTTAACAAGGAAAGCAAAGGACCTCTTCGAGGAGAACTACAAACCATTGCTCGAGGATATCAGAAAGGACACAAACAAAAGGAAAAACATTCCATGCTTATAGACAGAAAGAATCAATGTTGTGAAAGTGACTGTACTGCCCAAAGTAATTTATAGATTCAATGCTATTCCCTTTAAACTACCATTGACATTCTTCACAGAATTAGAAAAAAAAAACTACATTAAAATACATATGGAATCAAATAGGAGCCTGAACAGCCAAGACAATCCTAAGCAAAAAGAACTAAGCTGGAAGCATCATGCCACCTGACTTCCTATTATACTACAAATCTACAGTAACTAAAATAGCATGGTACCAGTACAAAAACAGACACAGAGACCAATGGAACAGAATGGAGAACTCGGAAATAAGACCACACATCTACAATCATTTGATCTGTGACAAATGTGACAAAAACAAGCAATGGGGAAAGGATTCCCTATTTAATAAGTCGTGCTGGGAAAACTGGCCAGCCATATGCAGAAAATTGAAACTGGACCCCTTCCTTACACCTTATACAAAAATTAACTCAAGATGGATTAAAGACTTAAATGTAAAACCCAAAACTATAAAAACTCTAGAAGAAAATCTAGGCAATGCCATTCAGGACATAGGCACGGGCAAAGATTTCATGACATAAACCTCAAAAGCAATTGTAATGGAAGCAAAATTTGACAAATGGGATCTAATTAAACTAAAGAGCTTCTGCACAGCAAAATAAACTATCAGCATAGTGAACAGACAACCTACAGAATGGTAGAAAATTTTTGCAATCTATCCATCTGACAAAGGTTTAATATCCAAAATCTACAAGGAACTTAAACAAACTTATAAGAAAAAACAAACAACCCCATTAAACAGTGGGCAAAGGATATGAACAGACATTTCTCAAAGGAGGACATACATGTGGCCAACAAACATATGAAAAAAAGCTCAACATCACTGATCAATAGAGAAATGCAAATCAAACTCACTATGAGATACCATCTCATGCCAGTCAGAATGGTTACTATTAAAAAGTCAAGAAACAAGAGATGCTGGTGAGGCTATGGAAAAATAGGAACAGTAACGCTTTTACACTGTTGGTGGGAATGTAAATTAGTTCAAACATTGTGGAAGATAGTGTGGTGATTCCTCAAAGACCTAGGACCAGAAATAACATTTGACCCAGCAATCCTATTAGTGGATATAGACACAAAGGAATATTAATTATAAAGATGCATGCACACATACATGCATTGCAGCACTATTTACAATAGCAAAGGCATGGAGTCAACCCAAGTTCTCATCAATGATAGACTGGATAAAGGAAATGTGGTACATATACAACATGGACTACTATGCAGCCATAAAAATGAACAAGATTATGTCCTTTGCAGAGACATGGATGGAGCTGGAAGCCATTATCCTTGGCAATCTAATGCAGGAACAGAAAACCAAACACTACGTGTTCTCACTTATAAGTGGGAGTTAAACCACGAGAACACATGGACCTAGGGAAAGGAACAACACACACTGGAGCTTGTTGTTGGGGGGTGGGGTCATGGGGAGAGGGAGAGCATCAGGAAAAATAGCTAATGCATGCTAGTCTTGATGCCTAGGTGATATGTTGATCGATGCAGAAAACCACCATGGCACATTTTTACCTGGGTAACAAACCTGTACATCCTACCCATGTACAGTATCCCAGAATTTAAACTTAAAAAAAAAAGAAAAAAAGCAATTACAAAAAAGTATATTCCTTGGAACAAAGGGTATATTGTTCAACATATTTGAAAAAGACTGAATTTCACTAAGGTGTTTGAGTTTCTTTTGTGCAGGGTTTCCAAGAGACCTGAATACACAAATGTACACAATGCTAAAGGCTCAAATAGGTGTCTCTTAAGTGACCACAGAAAAATTCATTTTTAAAAAATAGAATGTTATCCAGAACTGTGTTTTTCTAGGGACCAGTATACCAAAAGTTCTTTTTACACAAGATTTATTCTTGCAGTCTCTTATCTCCAAGCTCTAGGCCACTTGCTGAGTCCCAGCCTTGCTGGATTTCTGAGTGGGGCGGGCACTGTAGGAAAAGATATTTGTGCAGAACAGTCAGCAGGACACGGAAGGGCAGCTGGAGGGGTGCCCTGTCCATTCACTTCGGGAATGTTGCTTTGAGAACACCTGCCCTGCAAAGTTTGGGCATTTCGTGATGAGCAAAAGCATCTCATTTTTGGTCATTTCAAAGCATTACAAAAATTAAAAGCAACCACTACCAATAAAATACATAGTCCCCTGTCCTTGTTGGATCCAGATATGCACACTGGTACCCTCTCTCCTCAATCACTCACAGGTCTCACCTCCACACAGCAGTGTCCAGGACTAGCACCTCCCGCTGACTGTTCTGCACAAATGTCTTTTCCAAAGGCGTCATTTGGAAACTTCTCATTTGAAGTCTGTTCCTTTTGAAATACCTTTGAACTTGTTTCCTCTCCTTTTACCTTTCTTTTCGACAAACCAGTGCTTTCTTAAACTTTCAGAGACATCCCAATTTTGGAGTTAAATTCTTGGGCAGTTTTTAGGGCAATTTCTGCATAAAGGGACATTGTGTGACATGTCCAGTAAAGACTCATTCATTTTCATTGACTTTTTAATGGATTAAACTTGGTTTTTAAAAGATGATGGCAAGGAAATTAAAGGTAATGAGAGGGAAAAGGGATGATTCTGGATTTTTTTTTTTTTTTCACTTTAAAGATAGCCAAATTTAAGATGCCCAAAGTTTGCTTAAAATTTTTTTTGTATTGTTTTATCCATCATTTCTGGGAAATTGAGTTTTCCTAGAGACGACAAAGACCCATTGAAGAGACACAGGACTTTTAACAGGTGAATTGGCAGAAATGTCAGGGACTGCTTCTCCTCTTCTGCAGTCACTGCCCAAAGCACTTGCTTCCCGTTTTATCCAATATGGTGGCTGTGGACCATACACTTCTTTAGAGGATTAGCTTGGGTTAGGCTTCCCAACATCTATTTCCCTACTTTTTGCACAATGCCCCTCTCCCACTGTGTATGTTCTTGGGTTGGCTGGAGGTCAAAGTGCTCTGCCTAGTTGGGTGGGCTGGCTATAGTCAAGGTATTCTGCCATTGCTTGGTGGGGTGGGCTGGCTCTATGTTAAGGTTCCCTGCCATTGTCTAGTTGGGTAGGCTGGCTGCTATAAGTCAAGGTGTCCTGATACTGCTTAGTCGAGTGGGCTGGTTGTAAGTCAGGTGTCCTGTCATTGCTTGTTGGGGTGGGCTGGCTATAAGTCAAGGCACCTTGCCTTTGCTTAGCGGAATAGGCTGGCTGTAAGTCAAGTGCCCTGCCATTGCTTCGTGCAGTGGGCTGGCTGTCAGTCAATGTGCCCTGCCATTGCTTGGTGGGGTGGGCTGGCTACTGGCTATAAGTCAAGGTGCCCTGTCATTGCTTCATTGCTTAGCAGAGTTGAGGTGAAGTGGCACTGGAACTCAAGCTAGGGCAATTTCAGTGAGCTCTTTCCCCCAACTCCCAAATATTCTGACTGCTAGCCAAGATGACACAAGATCAGGGAAACAATTAACCTGATTTCCATCAGGTACAATGGGTTGAGATGCCTGGTGCCAGCTCCTGCTACCTGGACCCTAGGTCTGCCCTTGATCCTGCAATTTCCCAAGCAGGGTTCTCATGCTCTCACTAGATCCTCTTCTGCTTACCCAGAGTTTGTGACCTGGGTAACCCTCATTGGCCCAAATTCATAAGAGCAGATTAGATGATTCCTTGCCACCTGAGAAGAGGCAGCTGGAAGTCCTCCCAGACTGCAGGGCATCTGGTCTTCCTCCTCTGCAACAAGAGTCCAGCAGTGCCCCTCTCCTCTTGAAGGATGGCCAGGCCAGCACCCAGCACAGGAGGCACAGAGCTCCTCCATCATGGCCCTGTGTAATGGAGGGGATGGCACAGCCCCACAGGGAAGTATGTGCCCTCTGGACTGAAGCTGTCCAGCTTGAAACCCAGCTCTGCACCTTACCACTATATGACCTGGACAAGTCACCTAGCCGCCTATGTCTCCATTTCCTCATCTACCAAATGCAGCTAATGTCATTTTTTTATCTGAAAGGCTTGTTTTAAGGATTAATGAGTTCACATGTATAAAGCACATAGAACAGCACTGGCCCAAATATTCATTTATTAAGTTTTAGCTATTCTACTATTCCTCTTATTACTGTTGTTAAAAAAAAAAAAAAAAGTCTCACCAATTTAGTTTAGAGATGTAACTGGCTTTCATTAGTGAGTCACGTGTCAGGCAGCATTCCATCTAAAGCTTTGGAAAGGAGATCCTGTAAGCTGAGCAGAAGAGATGGCCTTTACAGGCTGAAAAAAGAAATCAAAAGGAGATTGGGCATTATAAGTTACTTCCCTTATAAAGTCAAAATAGAGGGAACTTCTGTATCATGCTGGTTCAGACAAATGGGGCTCCTTCCACCTGCTTCTGGGAATCTCCTGTTTTTTGGAAAACTGGTCCATATGAGTCGGTTTGATGACATGGTACTTAGCATGGGTGTATCCATTCTGGCCTGTTGCACCTAGAACGGAGCCCATTCTAAACACTCACTCCCATTGTTATCCAACATTATTATGACTCCTATTGTCCTCTTCCTGGCTGTGGTCGCAGACTTTATGGATGCTGGTTTGCCAGCACGTCAAGAGCTAATCCTTCTCACAATGGCAAGCCCACATACTCCAAGGTTTTACAGCTGAAGTGTAAGCTTCAAATTCCAATTTTCTAACTTACAGTAACTCAGCTCTGTCATTTCATGGTCAAGAACACAGACTCTGGCATTAAACCCACCCTTGATGCCACCTGCCCACTGTGGATTGCTAATCCCCTCTCTCAATCCTACCTCATAGGATTGGAGTGGGGATTAACTCAAAATAATATGCACAGAGGGCTTCATGGGGAACCTGCCACCTATAAGCATTTAATAAATGGCAGCAAAGTGTCCTGTAATTGTCATGGTGATTGAAAAGCTTGCCCCTGAATGGCCAAGCCATTCTGCCACTATAGGCATAAGAAGCCAGCTTATATTCAGAACATCATTTCTTTGATTTCAGAATGCGAAGTAACTCATGCTGAGCACAGCATGTTCAAAGTCCCTGTGATTCCTGGATTATATCACTGCAGACAGACAATGCGGGAAACCACAAATAATCAGCAGACACTGGGGAGCCTGGAATAGGCACAGGAAGAGGTAGGGGGGTTCAATGTTTCATGTCACTGGGTTAAGAAGATAAATTAGTTCAACCATTGTGGAAGACAGTGTGGCGATTCCTCAAGGACCTAGAAATAGAAATTCCATTTGACCCAGCAATCCCATTACTGGGTATATATCCAAAGGATTATAAATTGTTCTACTATAAGGACACGTGCACACGAATGTTCATTGCTGCACTGTATACAATAGCAAAGACCTAAAACCAACCCAAATGCCCATTGGTGATAGACTGGACAGGGAAAATGTGGCACATATACACCATGGAATACTACACAGCCATCAAAAATGATGAGTTTGTGTCCTTTGTAGGGACATGGATGAACCTGAAAACCATCATTCTCAGCAAACTGACACAAGAGTAGAAAATCAAACACCGCATGTTCTCACTCATAGGTGGGTGTTGAATAATGAGAACACATGGACACAGGGAGGGGAGCACTACACACTGAGGTCTGTTGGGGGGAAATAGGGGAGGGACATTAGGGAGTGGGGAGTTGGGGAGAGATAGCCTGGGGAGAAATGCCAGATATAAGTGAAGGGGAGGAAGGCAGCAAATCACACTGCCATGTGTGTACCTATGCAACAATCTTGCCTGTTCTTCACATGTACCCCAAAACCTAAAATGCAATTAAAAAAAATAAAAAGAAGATGCACCAGCCTCACCTGATGGGCTTTGCCACTCTGGCCAGATTGCCTCCATGGCTAAAGCCCTCTCTACCCTTCAGAGAAGTTCTGAACCAAATTTCCAGTATTTGCCAGTGGGATTTATACATAGCCAAGCTGCCTGGAGCACAGCAAACCTTATTTGAATGACACAACCTCATCTTGGAGTTGTTAATAAATTCACCCAGATCCCAGCTAGCCTTCTGTCTTCCTTCCTAGCTGGCTCTACCTCTCTCATCTGGGGAATTCCATGTTTTTCTAGTTCTTAAAGCCCTGTTGAAGCTAGTGTTTCTAAATTCTGCAGGAAAGGGAGGCATCTCAATTTGGCCTCCCAATATTGTTCATAAGTGAACACTTAGGCCAGGGTAACTTGGATATCTTCTGCCCTAAAGTTGCATGTGTAATTGAACTCAATTTTTAAAATTACATCATGTTTCTGCATAGAGGAAAGGCACCAGCTCCCATTACATGATGCCCCATTATGCAGTAGTCACACATAACGTCATCATGCTAAGCTTTCAGCATAGTGTATCTTATGCAATCCTGGAAGGAAACACCTGTAGAATACCACTCAGCAATGAACAGGAGTGAACTACAGATGCATGCAAAAACCTGGTTGGATTTCAAGGGAATTACCTTGAGTGAAAACAGCCAATCCCAATGAGTTACATAGTATATGATTCCATTTATCTAACTTTCTTAAAATGGCAAAATTTTAGAGATGGGAAGCAGATCCATGGTTGCCAGAGGTTAATGGGGAGAGAGGGTGGTGTCTGTGGCTATGACAAAGTGGCATGAGGGGCCTTGTGACGAACACGCTCTCTTTCTGGACTGAAGCGATGCTCACAAGAATCTACACGTGGCATAAAATTACATGGAACTAAATATCCACATGTAGGGAAGGAAAAGTCCCTTTCCCTCACCCATTGCAAGGGTCTTGACTGACAACCCTGTAACAAAAGGCAAATTAGCAGGAGAAAGCATAACACATCTATTTTTATAAAGGTTAACGTGACACAGGAGTCTCCAGAAATGAATATTCAAAGACCCAGAGAAAACTGTGTATTTTTATGCTAAGTCTGATGAAAAATTTAATTTGTGGAGAAGTAGAATCAACAAAATGGATATGATCGAACAGTAATAAGCTGCGGGGACCTTCAGCAAGGCCAGTTGTTCAGATTCTTTTCTGTGTTTCTGCAAAACATCTACCCCACCCCACCGCCCGCACTGCCCCCCGCAATGAGGAAGGACAATGAAGATCCTCAGGGGAGTTGGGAAGAGGTAAGAGTGACCTTTCTAGATGTCATGGCTCACATTGAGGAAGGATTCTAGTTTCTAAAACCTGTTTCAGGGAAGAAAGAGGGACAGAGACAGAAGGACAGAGCAAAGTCAGAAGCCTTCTTACTTCTGAGGCCCTCCTGTCTCTTAGGGTTCAAAATACTCATGAGTATGGTATGCCAAGGTACCATACTCTATCATGTTCTGAGTCCAAACATGTACACACACACACACACATACATATATACACACACACTACATATATACACACACACATATAAATGGATGTGTCTTAGGACTGCTATAACAAAGTACTATAGACTGGATGGCTCAAAAACACACATTTTTTTTTCTTTTTTTTTAACCAGTTTTAGAGGCTAGAAATTCAAGATCAAAATGCCAGCACAGCCTGGTTCTGGTAAGGGCCCTTTCCAGGCTGCAAACTGCCACCGGCATAGAGAAAAGAGGGCACGAGAGCTCTCTGGAGTCCCTTTCATAAGGGCACTAATCCCATCCATAAAGGCCCCACCCTCATGTCCTACTCACCTTCCAAAGCCCTATCTCCTAATACCAACACCTTGGGAGTTAGGATTTCAACGCAGGGATTTTGAGGGGACACAATCAGTCTATGACACGGTGCACATTAAATTCGTGCCATGTTAATGAAGTCAGTTAAGTGAGCCAATGCCAACATTCTTGTCCTAATACTGTACCCTAGTTTTGCAAGACTGGGGAAAGCTGAAAGAAGGGTATGCAAGATTTTTCCATGTTATTTCTTACAACCGTGTGCAAAGGACTGTCTGAAGCAAGACAAATCTTTTGCTGAAAACACACAAAAAACTGGATGAAAAATATGTACAAACAAGGCGAATTTTACCTGATTATGTTAGTTTCAAGATTAGAGAATGGTCCACCAAACAAAGACAGATAGTCCAAGATCCCAGAGAAGAGAAAAACGTGTTTAGATGAAGCCGGTATTCTACATTGCTTTCACTTTGAGGTTCATCTAGTTTGCAGGTATTATGGGCAAAAGGCTGAGAACCTGAGCAGGAAGCCAAGCATGAAGTGGGAGCTAAGCAGAGCTGCTGGTGATTTACAGGCATGGGAGATGAAGGTTACATTCAAGGACATAACGGATAGCAGGACACATAGATCCAAGAGCTTGGAGGGAAGGCAAGCACTGAGACACAAGCCAGCACTCTACTCTGCTTTTCCCCTTGAGGTGTTTGCCAATGTGTAAGTGGGGACTAGTGAAAGGTTAGAAAGGCAAGTACAAAACTGTTCTAGATGTCAGAGGAACTAAGCATGGCTTTCAGCAGTCTTACAGTGCTAAAAACCTAAAACTGGAGTTCAGAGGTATACCTGGGAAAAGGAACAAGTAGAAGGAAAAAGACCCTGTCTTATGGAGCAGAACCCCAGTCCTGAAGTGATCAAACAAATTCTCATTAGCTTGAGTCATTTTCCCCTAATATAACTGCTTGATATAAACTCAAATAAAATAAAATTCTTCTCTAGAAGATTATAATACCATAGAGAGGCTCTGCACCATTGTTCAAGCAAAAGTTCAAAAATAAGCATGCATACCATGAAATAAGACATAGAGAAAAAGCAGACAACAGAAGCAGATCCATAGATGATCCAAACATTACAGTCATAAGGTATGGATTTCTTAAGAACTATAGTTAACATATACAAGAAAATAAATAATAAAATGGGAGTTTTAGTAGAGAATTCGAGTCTATAAAACTGAAACTGGACATTTTAAAACTCAAAAATGAAATAACCGAAATTATATACTCAGTAGATGAGTCTAACAGCAGATTAGATAGAACTAAAAAGAGGACTCATGGGCTGGATAATAGAGTAGAAATAAATACTGAAGTGCAAAAGGGGAAAAATGACAGAAAATACACATGTGATTATAATACTGAATATGCGTATTAACTACAATCCACAAAGAGATGGTGTAATAAAGGTGGAAAGAAACCCTATTTGATAAAGTGATTGTCAAGAATATTTTAAAACTGCTAAAATTATAAAACTATATATTCAAAAGTGTTATGAACCCTAAGAAGGTTAAATAAAAAGAAAACCACACCCGGGGACATCTTAATGAAATAGAGAATCTAAGACAAAGAAAAACTGAAAAGCAACCAGATAAAAAATGCCTTTATCACAAAGAAATAACAATAAAACAAACAAGCAGGATACAGGGAAAGCAACAGTTCTTTTCTCCTCTCTTAAAAGAAAATAATATTTAAAGACCATGTGATAGTAGCCACACTAGATACTTAAGGAGAAAAGCCACATGAGGCATTACTCTCAGAGGTGTAAACAGCAATAATGACAGCTAACTTTTCAACAGAAATGGTAGAATCCAGTAGAAAAATAAAAATAGACACCTTTAAAGTGGTTTAAAAAAACTAATATCAATCCTAGAATTCTATGCCCAGTGAAAATATTATTCAAAAGTAAAGATTAATAGAGACATTTCCAGACAAACAAAAATCAGCAGCCCTAAGATATTAAAGAGGTGCCCACAGGTATAATACAATGATCCTACACAGAAATCTAGGAAGATACAAAGAACAGGAAAATGTATGTGGATATATGGATCTATATCAAGTATTGTTGAGAGTATTGAATC